AGTTGAATAAATATTTGTCTGTAGGATTGTCATACAGCCTTTGTCTGTCCAAGGAATAGTGTGAGTAGTAGTACGGTCTGTTTATCTAGCGGTTGGTATTGAGGTTAGTGTGATGACGCAAGGTTGGATGGGAGAAGGGGAACGAGGTTGCGGACAAAGGGAAGGGGAAGGGCGAATAGTGATAAAAATAACTCACCCAGCCCCTTAATCAATCAAAATTATTGATTTGTACTTTAGAGTGATTAGATTGAATGATATGTATGCTAACGTCATATCATATTTAGTTTTTACGTCATTATTTTGGTGAACTTTAAATGTAGACATTTTAACGGTGTTTCATTTGACACGACGTACTATAACGTTGTTGATTTTTAAAACTTGAAGTTTATAATCTTAAGCAAATTTACCACCACCTTACCACCACCTTACCACCACCTTACCACCTTACCACCACCTAAGGTGATCAAAAAATTAAGATGACAATGTAAGATATAGAAAAAGAAAATACATTGAGTGGTAAAAATAAAAAAATTGTCATTAGACGTAATGTATTATGTATAAGTTAACTTTCTTAAAAATTAAAGAAGTTCAAGTCAAAAAGAAGATTGATGAAAACTGTAATACTAAAGCGAACATGGGAAGGTAATCTGCTGCAAGACTAAGATATATATTTTGTTAACCCTTGTCTTCCTAAATTATTTTTTAACTTTTTAAAGAAATTGACTGTTTAGTTAAGGATTCTGACGCGAATTTTTTCACAAGGGACGATACTCGTGTCTGTAGACAAGGTTGTTCTAATTTTAGAACAGTTGTCTTTCCTCTCGTTTCTCTATTAGGGAAGCCGTAAGGGGAAGACACGCGACACGTCTTTTAAAATGTAAACAAGCGTGCACGGGGTGCACTTAAAATAAACCCCGCTGCGACAATTGTTAAATTTATCTGGCTCAGTGTGGTCAAATGGTGGTCAGATCAAAAGAAAATCGGAACGGTCATAAAAAACGTAATTACTTTTCCAGACTTGTAAAAAACATGTCTACCCCGCATACCTACGTACCAACGCACCAAGTCGCCCTGTCGCCCATTAAAAAACACGAACCTACCGAGACTTCGTTTCGTCTCAAAACCTGACTTAACGGTGGTTGAAAGAAAATTCCGACCCTTAAATATATTTTTGTTTTCGCTGACCCTCGCTATAAGCGAATAGTTACAACCATTAATCTTTCATACATAGCAAGGGACGGTTCGCAGGACATGTGGAAACAAAATTTTTTAATTTGATCAAAGAATGACCGGGCGTACGATATGTGAACATAGTTCATGTACAGCTGTAGTCTAATGAAAAAAGCCGAGAGCCGTGACTAATTACAGCACCAGCTGTCGCCACACTTAACGCGTCGAGGGACTTAATGGCTTCGATTAATTATCTGTTGTGATCGCTTCAGTGAGCCCGCTATTAAGCAACCACGGGGAGCGCCGGGGAGGATCACGGGCGGATCGATAAGTACAAGCTGTCACTAATAAGTAACAGCTGTGGTTAAATGGATGTTATACACAATGACACTTTCTAGTACACGCTAGTGTTAGTCTTTTATTTCAAACGGCGTACAACAAAGAAATTAAAAGCAAACTAATTAAAATGAATTTCAAACAAATAAATTATACAAAGTAATTAAATTAAACAACAAGTAAACAACAATTAAAAATAAAATTTAAAAATAATAATTTAAAAAAATTTAAAAATTTAAAAAATTAAAATCAAATTACGTAACTCGTTAATAATAATTAAACTAATTATAAAATAAAATTAAAAAATTTAAAAATTTAAAAAAATTAAAATCAAATTACGTAACTCGTTAATAAAAATTACACATAGGTGGACCATTCTACTGACGGTCAGTGGGTGCGCTCAATATTAACTTGGCCCTTGTACGGTGGTTGACAAGAACAAAGGATCGCTGGTGGATCGATACGTGTCGGGTGCCATTAGCGAGTAACAGGTGTCTCTAATGGATGTTTGTAGTCGACATAAACCCACGATGCATGACCAAAATTTAATTAGGTGGGCCATCATACTGATGGTCAGTGTAAAACATCTTATATAGGATACCGAGTTACATAACTTGCAGGGACAAGTAACAAAAACAATAACACATACTTGTCTTTTAATATAAAAGTAAGAAAGTGAGTTTCTGTGTGTGTGTGTGTGTGTGTGTGTGTGTATACGTGTAGCATACGCGTACTAGAAAACCAACAAGGTAATGTCCGGTTGATCCGCCTAATTACACCACCAGCTGTCGCACAACAGCTGTTGCATAATGACCTATGTACTTCGCGGAGCTAACAACGCGATCGGTAAAATCGATTAACGTGGTAACAGATGTTCCCACACTTAACGCTGGCTTCGCGTTAATTACCATACCTCCCGGTGGGATCGCTTCGCGAACCCACATAAATCAATGACGGGTGTCAAAAAATTTAATTAGGTGGGCTATCAAGTTGATGATGGTCCAGTGGGTGTGACCAAAATTAACTCGGACAGTGTACGGTCCCTCACAAAAAGAAAAACTTTGCTGGTGAATCGATACGTGCCGGGTGCCATTAGCGAGTAACAGGTGTTGTTAATGTATGTTTGTAGTCGAGAGAAACGGTGGAGAATTTAACCTGTTTTTTGTACACGGTCGTTGTAGGGGAGAATTTAAAACATACATACAACCAAATAAACAAACCAACAAATTAAACAACAAAGAAAAGAAATATATCAAATAAATAAATTAAACAAAGTAATTAAAATCAAATTAATTAAAATGAATTTCAAACAAATAAGCAAATTACGTAACTCGTTAATAAAAATTACACACTATAAACAAAGTAATTAAATTAAACAACAAGTAAACAAACTAATTAAACAATCAAAGTAATTAAATTACATAACTAGTCAATAAAAATTCAAACTAATTATAAAATAAAATTAAAATTACGTAACTAGATACAAAATAAATAAAAATCAAATTAATTAAACTTATTAAAAATAAAATTACGTAACTAGATACAAAATAAAAATAATTAAAAAGTTAAAATCAAACAAATACAAAATAAATAAAAAATCGAATTAATTAAACTTATTAAAAATAAACAAACAAAACACAAACAAAGTAATTAAAATCAAATTAAAACAATAAAATTACGTAACTAGGTCAAAAATTAATTAAAATTTAAAAAACTCATTAAAACTAATTAAAAAACGCATTAAATTTACGTAACTAGGTCAATGATTACGTCATAATGTTACTAATTACGTCACAAGGTCACCGGTGGTGACCTACTGACCTACTCCCCCTCCTGCTCACCCACCCTAGGGTGGGTGAGTATTTTACTATATCTCATTGTCCCAGGCTGCTCACCCACCCTCACCCACCTTCACCCAGGTGGGTGAGTATTTTCCTATATCTCGTTGTCCCAGGCTGCGCCACCTGCTCACCCACCCTCACCCAGATGGGTGAGTATTTTGCTATATGTCGGTGTACCTCCACCTCCCCCAGGGAGTATTTTACTATATCTCATTGTCCCAGGCTGCGGCAGGCTGCGCCTGGTGGTGGGAGTATTTTACTATATGTCATTGTCCCAGGCTGGGGGAGTATTTTACTATATATCCTTTGCTCCTGCTCCTGCTCCACCTCCTGCTCCTGCTCACCCAGCGCCTGCGCCTTCGCTCCAAAAGGGACCTAATATACTACTGATGTTGTGTTTTTACCAGCTTTTACTTAAGTCACGTCACGGTGGGCTAATTTTCCACACGTTTCTAATGGAGCTATTTCTTTCCAAATCAGTTAAATTATATTGACATCGCAGGAATATACAATTTTCAATGTAATTAGATATTTGACGATTACCAAATTCACTAACAAAGAGGGAAATAAATACACTATTACGGTAAAAGAGACGATCTAACCAGTCTAGTGAGCTAGTGTTCATGACCGATGTTTACAAGGTGTAATAGACGAGGGAAGATCTACTCACGTTAGGGTCATTGTTATCACGCGATATTTACCGACATTACTGAAGTGGAGTGAGTATAAAGCAAATATGACTCACGAACTATTAGAATAGTGCTTTCTTGTGTTTAACACTTCTAAGTATGGACTTTATCTTATAGCTTTACAATGTCCAAATAATGGAAGGTTGGAGTAAAAAAAAATGCAATTCGGAAAAAGTTTTTTAAATAAGTTTTTAGATGCACCGAAATACGAAAATAAATATGAACTTTCTTTAGCTTTAGTATTAGTAGTAAAAAAATCTCTAATTGTAGTTAAACAATTTCGTGAGCAGACGGTTTTTTTTTTGTAATATACTCGATAATATAGCTGAGATACTGTCAAAATAAAGATAAGTCTGTTGAACTAAAACATGGTAATCGTAAGTAGACATACCCATGTTTTAAGCAGGGAGTTCCATCGGACTCCTCTGTATTTCTTACAGGCTTCTCCTCTAAGATTTCAAGTGTCCCCTTTCACCCTCCCCCCCCCCCCCCCACCCAGATGTCACTTGATCTATTGTTTTATTACTACAAAGATATAGCGACACGCAAATCATTTGTATAAACCAGGGGTCTCCAAACTACGGCCCGCGGGCCGGAAGCGGCCCGCGAGGTTCTCTTATCCGGCCCGCGGAGATCCTTTTGTCCACGGAAAAAAATGTTTGTCGGTGATGGCTGAGGAACTTTGCCCAGAAAAATCAAAGACATGCCTGGAAGAAACTGGCCCCCGAACTGAAATTTGATAGTTAATGCGGCCCTCGGACTGAAAAGTTTGGAGACCCCTGGTATAAACCATTTTAACATTGTTACTCTTTTCTCCTACTATACCAGAAAATAACAACAACAAAAAAAATCATGTCCCCACAGTAAGACGAGGGGTCTTCTTGTGGGGGACGGCTATTTTCAGTGCTCAACAAGACGAACTATACAAAACACAACTGTATTTCTTGTAAATCATTTTTCTTACCTCAAAGTTCAGGAAAAAATGGCAGCTATAAGTTATGTAAAGTATGGTGATGTTAGCAATCCACTGTGTCTATTAATTCACGTGTCAAATTACTTTTGTAACTACGAGAATGATGTATAAAAATCAACGGCAACAATTTTAGTCCAAACAAAGTCCGAATGAATTTCGACCCTTCAGCGTCAGCCTGTTGGTAAAAGTTCCGTCCAGCGACGCAATGAAGTACTCCCGTACACACAAGACGATTGTTGATTAGCACTGGTCTTTGTACCATCGGTTATAGATGAATGCTGGTAGATTCCTGGGCCCTAGGTAGTTTCATATCCGTCTGTCCTATCATCCGTGTAGGTATTTATTGTTGGCCTGGAATGTCACGCCTAGCTAGTTACTGCGTTAGATGAATTGCGTGTTTTTTCCCTGTTCGTTTCATGACAATAGAGTCGTGTACTAGAGGATTGTCTGATCTTCTAGTCTTGTTAGAAGTTTTTTTTTTACTTGAGCACCTGGTTTGTTTTTAAACTAGTTATCTGTTCAAAGTGTTATCACGTTTGTTGAGGTTTTGTTGCTAGTTGTTATTGATTTTTAATATTGCATTTTTGATAGCGTTTTATGACTGTGAGTATATTCGGAGGCTGTAACTTAAAGTTAAAGTCATGTCGAAGTCACAAGTCAGCCATGTCGAAGGCAAGTCATGAGTGATGAGGCTATTATTACCAGGCATGTCCGGTTGAAAAAGTTGCCGTGTATGACGTCAGCCCGGGCCGTGTTAGTTTGCTGGTGTACGCGGCACGTGTCAGCACTGTCCGTCTGACTGACATGGCTCGAGTTGTCAAATAGTCAGGGAGGGGGGGGGACTACATTGACCACATCAAGTATTTGTACTGTCCGTACAGTGCTGCCGCCAGTCTTGTCTATGACAGTTTCTGTGGAAATGTTGCGAGTCTCGTGCTCAAAACACGCCGTGCATTTCTACCTTTACCCCCCCCCTCCCTTTTGTTGTCACACATTGTCGCAAAAAGCCAGTACCAATCACACGCCGTCACACACAATCCCCACTTTAACCATTTATCTAACGAACATCAAACTTTTTTTTTTTTAATTTCTGGAATATCAACACGACATTAAAGAGGTTATGCTACGTCATATTTTAAAGCCACCCTTCGCCTTTTCCGTCCCTAACGCATCTTCACTATGAGTATAATCCCCCCCCCCCCATTACTACTCGTGTGACGTCATTTATAGACCACCAGTTGACTACCGTAAGAGTTTTACTTTGGGTGTTGACGTGACTATTCAAATATCACCCTAAGGGGTAGACTAGATGTTTTCTGTGTGTCTGGCCCACTCGCCTGGTGCGTTGGTCGTCGTGTCTCTTTGCTTGCCATTCAACGTTATACACACGCTTCTACTTTATCGCTTCCAGTCCCATACAGAACCGAAGAATGCACCGACAGAAATGCACGAGACACAATCATGATACTGATAGATGGTTCATTTTGTGGCCTGTCTTTCCTACCGTCTTTGAATTACTGATTAAAAAAAAAATTCTCAAGCGCTCAATATACTTAATGTGCGGTGCGTTTTTTTCTGGTCACCCAATTTACAGAAAGCCCCGTTTACAAAAAAACCAATTACACAAAACCCCATTTACAGAACCCCCCCCCCCCCCCCCCCCGTTACGCAAAACCTGATTTACACGCAACCATACAACTTGGCAGTGCTTCGGTTATTTCTTTGCTTGTTGTCATGTATAATAACACACGTTGTTCTGATTGTAACTTATTAAAGGTGAAGTGGATGCTGGGTATATATATATCATCACATTTCTTGGTACAATATAACTTATATATATATATATATATATATATATATATATATATATATATATATATATATATATATATATATATATATATATATATATATATATATATATATATATATATATATATTGGGTTATAAAGACAGTGGGTTATTCATGGTGGGTCAATGAGAGGCACTTACTTGGTTTCTATACCAATGAACCTGAGTGTCACCTTACCTGTCTCCTCTGGTTCCTGTGTTTACCACAGTTCACCTAGGCTACTGTACATTTACACTATACCTATCAGATCCTGGTGCTATAATTAGAACATGGGCTGTCTAGGATATTAGAAAAATGTGATGATAAATAATGTAGTGTCGGCTGAAGCAAGTTATATTGTACCAAGAAATGAGATGATAAATAATGTAGTGTCGGCTGAAGCAAGTTATATTGTACCAAGAAATGTGATGATAAATAATGTAGTGTCGGCTGAAGCAAGTTATATTGTACCAAGAAATGTGATGATAAATAATGTAGTGTTGGCTGAAGCAAGTTATATTGTACCAAGAAATGAAATGATAAGTAAAGTATATACTGTCAACTGAAGCAAGTTATATTGTACCAAGAAATGTGATGATAAATAATGTAGTGTCGGCTGAAGCAAGTTATATTGTACCAAGAAATGTGATGATAAATAATGTAGTGTTGGCTGAAGCAAGTTATATTGTACCAAGAAATGAAATGATAAGTAAAGTATATACTGTCAACTGAAGCAAGTTATATTGTACCAAGAAATGAGATGATAAATAATGTAGTGTCGGCTGAAGCAAGTTATATTGTACCAAGAAATGTGATGATAAATAATGTAGTGTTGGCTGAAGCAAGTTATATTGTACCAAGAAATGAGATGATAAATAATGTAGTGTCGGCTGAAGCAAGTTATATTGTACCAAGAAATGAGATGATAAATAATGTAGTGTCGGCTGAAGCAAGTTATATTGTACCAAGAAATGAGATGATAAATAATGTAGTGTTGGCTGAAGCAAGTTATATTGCACCAATAAATGCACCAGATGAGGCTTCAAAGATGCAGCTACAGTGTGTCTATCTCATATTTTGTGAATAATTTAGCACCTTCTTTCTGTATTTCTTGAGTGCATTTGTTTCTCCTGTATGTTTGACCTGGTGGGGCGTGGCAGTGATGTGTTAACAAGAGCCATGCATGTCATGATGACATCAGATCTGTTTTAGCTTGATCTGGCAGATTTTTGTGGTGATGAAACTATAGTTTACTGTATCATTGACCCTGTACTTCATATTCGCTTCGTAACAGATACCATCATAAGTCCGGTGATATATTTAAGTAGGTAAACATAAAAAGTAGGGTGAAATCTTTGTGCTATTAGGGTTGAGGTGTGGTGATAAGGTGGTCACTTCTCTAACAAGCTCAACATACAACACTTCCCTCAGTTACAACTTAACATAGCTGTTAGTGCTCCTATGAACCAGAAAAGATAATCTTTTGTGATTTTCAATACTTAAGCTTTAAGGGCTTTTAACAAAGTTGTTTCTTATAAACCAAGAAAAAAAATCTTTTGTGATATTTTCAATACTTAAACTTTAAGGGCTTTTAACAAAGTTGTTTCTTATAAACCAAGAAAAAAAATCTGTTGTGATATTTTCAATACTTAAGCTTTAAGGGCTTTTAACAAAGTTGTTTCTTATAAACCAAGAAAAAAAATCTTTTGTGATATTTTCAATACTTAAGCTTTAAGGGCTTTTAACAAAGTTGTTTCTTATAAACCAAGAAAAAAAATCTTTTGTGATATTTTCAATACTTAAGCTTTAAAGGCTTTTAACAAAGTTGTTTCTTATAAACCAAGAAAAAAAATCTTTTGTGATATTTTCAATACTTAAGCTTTAAGGTCTTAACAAAATTGTTTCTTCTGGTTTAATGATAGACTAAACAATTTTTTTTCTTTCAGATTTACCCTTATATTTTGTAATATACTTGTAATACGTTTTTAACCCCATATCTAATCCTAAAGCTAATCCTAAGTTTTAACTCATTATTTACTCTAACTTATATCTATATGTGTATGGCAAAAAAAAAGAATCAGCTAAGTTTTAACTCATTATTTACTCTAACTTATATGTATATGTGTATGGCAAAAAAAAGAATCAGCCTAACAAAGGATTTTGTATAAATCTGTAGTATAAGAAACAACAGATTAACTACCATTTGATCTTCTTACAACCCATGTTTAAAATTTGTATTGATATCCTTGTCCACAGAGTGAAAGATTCTGCTATTTATTTAAATGTGATGGCAAGTGTGTTTTCAAAGATCACGAGGGCTACTTTGTCAGCAACATCAGACATGTGAAGGAGCAGACAGAGGAAGATCTCCACAACTTGAACACAGAGTCTGCTGCCCAGGGGGAGGATAGTGCCAGACAGCAGGGGGCTGTCAGACCCCAGGGGCAGTACAGGGAAAGACCCCAGGGGCAGGACAGTGAAAGACCCCAGGGGCAGGACAGCGAAACACCCCAAGGAAAGGTGAATGCAAGACCCCAGGGGCAGGACAGTGAAAGACCCCAGGGTCAGGAAAGACCCCAGGGGCAGGACAGTGATAGACCCCAGGGGCAGGACAGTGAAAGACCCCAGGGTCAGGAAAGACCCCAGGGGCAGGAAAGACCCCAGGGTCAGGACAGTGAAAGACCCCAGGGAAATGTGAATGCCAGACCCCAGGGGGAGGACAGGGCCAGTGACAGCAACAGTGTGCTTGAGGCACAGCTCAAGTCAAAGACGGCAGAGCAGACGACCTTGGCCCCTGACCCCCTATCACCTTCTGAACCCCTGGACCCTGTGATAACACCTCACTCAGGTAAGATCATCCTGGGAGCAGGACATTACCCTACCACCACCCCCACCCCAAATTAGTTACATTTTCCTCCCCCCCCCTACTTACTAACCACCCCCTATTATTACCCTTTCCTCTTGTGTTCATTAGACTAATCTTTTAGACCTACTTCTCAGTGATATGAATATGATAACACATGAATCTCTTTAAAGCCCAAATAGTGAAACCACTATCCCACTGAAATAATGCTTACCTGGTGTTATCAACACCAAAACATTTGATACTATTAAGAGATTAGGTAAAAATGGATGTGAGAACATATTTTTTATAACTGTATATTGTGATGTAGAATTAATTTTGAAATATTAAAAAAAATTTAACGTTCATTTTTTCTGATAACTTGATGTCTAAAGGAGAAGGAATTAACTAGGACTTTTTCATTGACATTTCAATTTAGCTGCATTACAACAGTCTTAAAACATTACCTATGCCCCTCTAAAGTATATTTTTATTCCTTAATCTCTTTGCATTAACTCTTTATACTAGAGAAAAATATATATTGAAATATACTAAATGGGAAGTTATCCAGATGGTAAAATTACTATGAATATTTAATTTTTATTTAAACATCTGAATGTGTAAAACTGTTTTACTTACCTGTGTTGAAAATGTACTTTATCCACCTGAAATGTCTGCTTGTAATGGATCTGTGTCTGATTAGAACTGAAGTTTAAATCCAACTTCCCTGAATTGTTACCAGCAATTCCACACAAGTAATAAACCTCTTGAGTTAAGCACACATTGCTAGCAGCTTGAAGTAAGCGCACACATTATTGACTACAGCACACACAACATTGTGCCCAACCAACTACAGCAACAAAGGGTGTAGATCTGAGATCTGTAATCAATAATCAAATATCTCCACGCATAATCCCTCAACGATTGGCCCGCTATTTTAATCTAAGGGGACAATCACTGATGGTGTGTTTTATCAGGGTTAAAATAAAATGTGTGTAATTTAATCTTGATCTGATAGTCAGTGCTATCTGATCTGTCAGGCATGGCTTTGTTTTAGTCATGCCTGTCATTTCAATTGTAATTTGTCAGATTGTGTCAGTTTTTATATGTGTCTGGTTTGGGTAGTTTTGTAAATTGAGTCAGTTTTTATACATGTCTGGTTTGGGTAGTTTTGTAAATTGAGTCAGTTTTTATATGTGTCTGGTTTGGGTAGTTTTGTAAATTGAGTCAGTTTTTATACATGTCTGGTTGGGGTTGTTTTGTAAATTGAGTCAGTTTTTATACTGGTTTGGGTTGTTTTGTAAATTGAGTTCAGTCAGTTTTTTCAACATGACTTGGTTAGGTTGTTTTGTAAATGAAGTTGAGTCAGTGTTTTAGGTGGTTTTTAAACACTTACAATTGAGTCAGTGTAATGTATCTGACATTGAGTCAGTTCCTTTTGTTTAAATTCCTCATGAAGGTTGTTTTGTCAGTCAATCAAAATTCTTCTGTGCTGGACTATCTATCAACTCCAACCCAACAATGCTGTGTAGTTTTCTATTGATTAGGTCAGAACATCTGTCTGCAGCTTATAGGTGGATTAGCTAATGTGAGGTTTTAAAGTATTTGCAAGCTTTACAAATAATCCATTCGTGGCTAGCACACATGTTGGACTCTCACATTAGGAAAATCTATACAACTGTTTGAATTCAAATTTAATAAACTAAAAATAAAAATTGAAGAATGTTCAATAAAATGGAAGTTTGACAAAATGATGTGGGAGTGTAAGGAAGTGTGAAGCAGTGTAGTTTTCTAAAGTTTTAGGTTTTAAAAAAATGGTTAAACTAAATTTTAAATTTAATCGCTTCCATTTTTGTGGAAAGGTGTGAATAAAGTAGGTTACATCTCTGACATGAACATTGGCTAAATCATGGGGTGTACAGCAATTGGCTAAATCATGGGGTGTACAACTATTGGCTAAATCATGGAGTGTACAACAATTGGCTAAATCATGGAGGGCGTATTCAAGCATAGGTTTAGTCATGGGATGTTTAAGCATAGGTTCTGTAATGGACTTAAGAAGCTATGACAGCAAATCAACACACTGGTATGTTTTTATATTGGTCTAAAATTTGAACAAATGATTTGTGAGGAAACAAAATTTATCTTTCCAATCCTGCCCATCTGTGAATGGATGCTATCTATTGGTACAGACACAAGGCCTTCAATGTTGGTAGACATGTAAACAAGATGTTATCTCTTAGTTGTCTCCCATCTCTCTCAATAAAAGTAGCTCAAGTGGTGAATGCTATCTTGGTGTTTAATATTCAAAATGTGTTTACATTGGGAGGATGTGGGGGGAGGGGGCTGGGGAGTGTATAAAAGTATTTATAGTCTTATTCAAGGAATTAAGTGTTGAAAAACGACATCCTTTTAAAGGCTCCTTTGTTAACTAAAGTTGAATGGAGGAGGGGGTTAGAATTGTATAGCCTCTGTTTTATTGTTCCCTAAAGTTGAATGGAGGAGGGGGTTAGAATTGTATAGCCTCTGTTTTATTGTTCCCTAGAGTTTAAGAAGAGATGAGAGTACAGAGGGTGTTGTGTTGGGGGGGGGGGGGGGGGTCAGAATCACCTCTACCCCTCCCCCTCCCTTCCTTGGATCATCAAAATGAAATTGTCACCTAGTTAAGTTACAAGCTACTTTGAGCTTGTGTTGCCTTATGTTTCAAATTTTAAAATCTCATTAACTTCAAATTTTATCAAGTTGTATATCTAATATACCTCCCTCAACAGGCAGATGAGGTTCACTAGCCAGAATCTTTTTAAGTACCTAACTATAAACTGCTGCATGTGATGAAAACAAACTGACAATTTTGAGTTGATAACACCTACAATTTAGTATAAACCAATGTTGTTTTGAAACAGTATATAACCCTGTTAAAAATATTATACTACTCATTTTTTGAGTTTCCCCATCTGTTGACAGTTGGTCTGAAAGGGTTTTGTACCCAGAGTCTTCACTGTGAGGATCCCAACGGTGCATGCATTGACCGGAACTGCCTGTGTAAAAAAGATTACTACAACAAGGATGGAATTTGTAGTAAGTGAAATTCTGTCATGGGTTTGTGTTTAATTGAGCCAGTAGTTGATTAGGTTGTGCTGTGCTGTTGTTACCAATGCTGGCTGTGGAAGTTCAGATTGGGCCTTTAATGCTGAATTTGGTTCTATCTGATTACCATCTTGTAGTCAGGTGGGGTGGGGGTCAGCGTAAAAAAAAGGTTTGTGGCTTCAATATTTTACTTATAGTTCAAAGCAACTCCACCCACACATACAACACCACCCACACAGCCACATCACTAAACCAAATTATTCTTGACTTAAAAACCCCCTATCAAATGTCCTCCCCATGGAAAGTCTGCCACCCCCCCCCCCCTTAAACTTTGAATGTTTTTATCATGGCTATAAAACCCCCCTATCAAATGTCCTCCCCAGATAAAGTTTCCCCCCCCCCCACCCTCCCCTTTAACTAAATGTTTTTATCATGGCTATAAAACCCCCCCAAATCATATGTCCTCCCCAGGAAAAGTCTGCCCCCCCTCCAACTTTGAATGTTTTGAGCTGGGTACCCTGAGTCGTGGCCCTGAGTGTGTACCCAGAACACAGGTGTGTGACTCCTACATGCAGTGTGCTGATGGCTCTGATGAGTTCAACTGTGAAGGTAAGGACTGATTTGTTTGTATCCCAAGCTGGATTACATTTCCTTATTTGTTTGTTACCAGTTATATTAGTTTGACTCATTGGAGGTTCCGGAATACTTAAATTAAATATACACTATTCAAAACAGTTTCATAAAAAAAAACTCTAGAAATTTTTTTATTTCTGTGAGGTATTTTTTCCCATTTAATTTTCATTAACCTATTTTTTTATGGTTCTATATTTAGATGTTATATTCTGTTTATTGAATGGAAATATTAGAAAACCATGTTTTCCTCTTGTTTTTGTAAGTATTTTTTTAGTTACTTTGTATTGGGGATTTAGAAACCTTTTGTTTATGGTTCATGGTTCAAGCTTTTATTGTATGTGGTTATTTCTCTCCTTAGCTCTTAAGTCTGAACCCAATAGCTGGCCTAAGCCAATGGGCGCCACTTCTGATAATAACAGAGAGAGTTCCAGTGGTTCCGGATTTACTAAGGCTGGGGACCCAGTACAGGTTGGCCACACACAGCACCAGTCAGAGGCCAGGCCACATGGCCCAAGTGGTGATGACAGGGGCGGCCAAGTGGTGCCACAGCAGGCCGCTGGTGGGATGGATGAGACTAAAGTAAGGCCTCACCCTGCTGTACAGCAGCTACCCCCAGGGGCTGGGAGTGCTGGTGGCAGGAGTCTTAACAACACCGCTAACCCGTACCTGGTGCAGAAGTTTCATCCTAACCCTAACCTGTTAATTAACCCTAACCCTAACACGATGTATGACACGCCTACTAACAGCATGAATAATGGCCAGAATCCACTAAGTGGGTCATTAGGTAATAACAGAGAACCTGAAGGTCATGCTGACATAAGACTTAATCCTGATTCTAACACTATAGCTGGTGGTAACGTGCTACAACAAGACAAGGCCCCAGGATCAAGCTACCCAAGTAATGATGAGCAAGGAACGCAGATCTCTGCTGACCAGGGTTCAAGGCCCAGTCAGCCCAACCAACATTACCCTGACCAGTACAGTGGTGTCCCCTCCCAGACTGGACCGGGGGTCAAACAGGAGGTTGTGGGGGCCAGGCCACATATGTTGGACAAGTCAGGGGACAATCAGCCACAGAGGACTTTAGCGCAGGGGGGGATTAGGGATGGTGGCAGAGGTGATGGAGGGAGGGGCGATGTCAGAGATGATGATGGTCGAGGAGGTGGTAGAGTTGATAGTGGTAGAGGTGGAGACGGTAGGGGTGATGGCACAAAGAGCAAGCAAACCAACAGCCACATAGAAGCAGTGTGGACAGGACCAAAGAAAACAGTGGCCCAGCCAGCATCTAAAACTAAACCATCCCAAGTCTTGAGCCCCCATTCAGACACTGTAGATGAGGACAGCGCAGGTAAAATACAGTTGACCCCACACCGAGGAAAAGCACACCAAACACCTTCCAAGTCCCAGGACCGCTACACCTCCCCCAAATGGCTGGACAACGGCCTCTACATGCCCTACGGGATTTCTGACTCGTCAGGCCAGCCGTCACGTCAGCGCCAGCCCCAAGTACAGTATGGCACTCAGTACCTTGACCCCCAGTACTACCCTCCGTATAACAACGCCGACTCACTGGACACTCTCCAGAGTTCCCTCCTGGGGAACATCGGATCTGCCGAGGATTTCTCACAGTTTGGTGGCCCTTATCTGGGCCGAGACAAATCCCTAAGCAGCTCCTACCAGACTGGCGGCTCAGGCTACCCCAGCTACCCCGAGCCTTCGTATGGCTCCCAGTACCCCCCCTCCAGCAGGTACGACTACAGCGGGGAGTACCGAGCGTCCCCCTACCAGGATTCAGATTTTTACCCCAGCCTGCCTCACCAACCCGCCTACAGGCCTGCCGTGGGACTGTACGAGGGTAAAGAAGTTTCTCGTCTAGCCACAGTTGTTGTAGTTCTGTGTCTGACTTGATGGTGTTTCTGTGTCATTAGGTGTTAGCTCATGGTTTTAATGTATCAAATTTTTAATCCAACAATCGACAACTTTTTAGCATTTAAATGTATAGATTCGACTAACATTGTATCTTTAACATTACGAAGGTTATATTTTATAGTTTTTAAATCTTTAAGATGTAATATTATCTCCTAATAATACAATTTTAATGAACTATCATCAGTCTGTAATTTACTTTTTAATCTGTTAAATTTAACTTAATTAATTTTTTAACTTAAACCAAGCCTTTCTGTAGTAAGCTTATTCTTATTGCTTGTTTTCATTGCTTTCAGTGTTATGTAATGTTTATATATTTCTAATTTTGTTTAGGCTATAGTTAAGTGTCTTGATTTAAGCTATTAAATTTTAATTTTAACATGTGGGGCAGGGTGGTGAGGGCTAATCCATAAGAAATAAAAATAAATTTGATTATAAATGTAATGTATGCTGACATTAGTTTGTGTCATTATGACTCTGCCATGTCACTCCTTAATGTCAAATGTCGCCTCCACATGCATGCCATTCCCCATTATAAACTTTTTGAATTTTTGTTTTGGTATTTTGAATGCTTTACCTTTATACTACATAACATCTGTTTTTTTACTTGTTATTATTAGCAGATGTTAACACTGCCTAGCTAGAGGATGTGTTAAAACTGCCTAGTTAGAGGATGTGTTAACACTGCCTAGCTAGAGGATGTGTTAACACTGCCTAGCTAGAGGATGTGTTAACACTGCCTAGCTAGAGGATGTGTTAACACTGCCTAGCTAGAGGATGTGTTAACACTGCCTAGCTAGAGGATGTGTTAACACTGCCTAGCTAGAGGATGTGTTAACACTGCCTAGCTAGAGGATGTGTTTACACTGCCTAGCTAGCAGATGTGTTAACACTGCCTAGCTAGAGGATGTGTTTACACTGCCTAGCTAGCAGATGTGTTCAGATTTGCTAGTTGATGTTGTAATTCTGTCACTTTTAGCTTGATATGTTGAATGTTGATTTATTTTTCATTTATGTATTTATTTTTTTATAGTACCCTCTAAACTCAAGTTTATTATGTTGTAAATATAATATACTTCATGCTCATTTGATTCATTATGTGTCAATACTAAGTTATCTTAACTTTAACCTTTATTTATGTACCATACAGCACATAAGATAATCCTTTTATTAAGCCTATGGTCTAGAGACTAAACTAAACTTTCATTGCTTAAACTGAACATCTACAACTAGTTACATATGATAATCCTGTTCTTTTTGTCAGTCCAGGACATAGAGAACGTATCTGATTAAATCTGCATACATGCCCAGAGGGGCAGATCTTTTAAAAAATGTTTTGGAAGTTGAATTTAATGTTTTCTGACAGGAGAAATCATTTTATTTTAAACACTTTGGAAATTGAAATTTTAATTTTTTTTTTCAGATCTCACTGCTGGCCAGAGACTGACAAAACCAAATGCTTTAGATAAATCTGCTAGTAAGTTAGTTACATAAAACTATTGGTTTAAGGCAAATGCTTTAGATAAATCTGCTAGTAAGTTAGTTACATAAAACTATTGATTTAAGGAAATGCTTGAGATAAATCTGCTAGTAAGTTAGTTACATTAAACTATTGGTTTAAGGAAATGCTTGAGATAAATCTGCTAGTAAGTTAGTTACATAAAACTATTGGTTTAAGGAAATGCTTTAGATAAATCTGCTAGTAAGTTAGTTACATAAAACTATTGAATGCTTGAGATAAATCTGCTAGTAAGTTAGTTACATTAAACAATTGGTTTAAGGAAATGCTTGAGATAAATCTGCTAGTAAGTTAGTTACATAAAACTATTGGTTTAAGGAAATGCTTTAGATAAATCTGCTAGTAAGTTAGTTACATAAAACTATTGGTTTAAGGCAAATGCTTTAGATAAATCTGCTAGTAAGTTAGTTACATTAAACTATTGGTTTAAGGAAATGCTTGAGATAAATCTGCTAGTAAGTTAGTTACATTAAACTATTGGTTTAAGGAAATGCTTTAGATAAATCTGCTAGTAAGTTAGTTACATAAAACTATTGGTTTAAGGAAATGCTTTAGATAAATCTGCTAGTAAGTTAGTTACATTAAACTATTGGTTTAAGGCAAATGCTTTAGATAAATCTGCTAGTAAGTTAGTTACATTAAACTATTGGTTTAAGGAAATGCTTGAGATAAATCTGCTAGTAAGTTAGTTACATTAAACTATTGGTTTAAGGAAATGCTTTAGATAAATCTGCTAGTAAGTTAGTTACATAAAACTATTGGTTTAAGGAAATGCTTTAGATAAATCTGCTAGTAAGTTAGTTACATTAAACTATTGGTTTAAGGCAAATGCTTTAGATAAATCTGCTAGTAAGTTAGTTACATTAAACTATTGGTTTAAGGAAATGCTTTAGATAAATCTGCTAGTAAGTTAGTTCCCAGTCTATTCAACCTCTGTCTCTCTCCCCAGTCTATTCAACCTCTCTGTCTCTCTCCCCAGTGAAAAGTTCCCAGTCTATTCAAGCAGAACCAGTTGCTGACCAAAGAGAAGAGATCAAACCAGAGAATCCAGGTATGTATCTACTGTAATTTGTGTTGTGTTGCACCTTCTTGTCATTGTCATATAGTCCATCAGAGAATCCAGGTATGTTTCTACTTTAATTTGTGTTGTGTTGTACCTTCTTGTCATTGTCATATAGTCCATCAGAGAATCCAGGTATGTTTCTACTTTAATTTGTGTTGTGTTGTACCTTCTTGTCATTGTCATATAGTCCATCAGAGAATCCAGGTATGTTTCTACTTTAATTTGTGTTGTGTTGTACCTTCTTGTCATTGTCATATAGTCCATCAGAGAATCCAGGTATGTTTCTACTTTAATTTGTGTTGTGTTGTACCTTCTTGTCATTGTCATATAGTCCATGGATTCCAGCTTCAGCCTGCTTTTCTTTCTTTAGTACTGAGAACAATCTGCAAGGTAGCAGATGTTTGATTTTAGAGTTTTCTGGCCACATATGCCAAGGGTCTAGGATCCAAACCTGTGAAATCTGTATTGACAGTCATGTGCTTTACCACTCCACCACCCCATTTTATTATCCATATTATCCCAATATTTATCCATTCATTACTTTCATTAATTTATTTCTATGATTTTTATATTCTAATTAAATTAAAATGGGTGCTGAGAATCCTTTTAAATTAAAATATAAATTCTGTGTATTTTAAGTAAATATTGCAATAAAAACGCTGTAGTTGTAGGCAGTATTATGACTTATCTTAGTTCACATTAGGTTGTTAACCTGAAAGTCCTGAATTCGAAACCTCAACCAGATAAGGCTTGTCAGCTGGGGGACAGCAACCCATCTTGGAGGAAAAAACTAAATCAAACAGGAGTGGAGCCTTTTAGGCGATAGGATTAGGATTACCAACTCTGATTTCCTTTATCACTAGATGAAGTAGAGTTCATTTGTTTCAATGACCTAGGTTTACAGGGGGCTGGTGTGGTCAGAAGTATGCCCAGCCACCTTAGTCAGATTACCATCAGAGCTAGGTGGACTCAGGGACGTTCTACAGACTCAGGTCTTGGGTCCAAACTTGAGACTTTTGGGTTAGCAGTTGTCAGCTCTACTCCCTGGCCATGTGTCCCATATTCTAAGAATTGTAAAATAACCCTTTTGTATTTGATAACATAAAATTTTACTATGAAAGTATTATATTTAATGTTTCCACTGAATTTTTGTAGTGACACTTTCACCCCCAGTGGTGGAGGTGATGAGCACTGCCAGTGTGAGGACCACTGGGTCTGTGAGCCAGTCACCTCCCCCCACCACCACCACCAGCACCACCACACTCAGGCCTGCCCATGATGGACACAGGGCTAACGAGCATGTCTTCATGTCCAGCGAGAAAGTCATCATAGCCAGCGCCACCAGCAACGCCGAAGGTCCAATCATAGCCTTATCATTGGGGCTTGCCTTTACTGTCATTCTCCTGGTTTTGGTTGGCTGTCGGCTCCGGAATGTCAGGCACCGTTTGAGGAAAGGCAGGCCATTGCATCAGAACGAAGCTGATTACTTGATTAATGGGATGTATTTATAATTGAGTGATGGCTGTATGTTGTTGATGTATGTGGTTAAGTTCCAAGGGATATAACTTGTAACTGTTGCACAACATGAAGCATTTGAACTTACCCATGGATAATCTGCTATTTATATTGTAAAATTTGCAGAGTAATATATTTTTACAATCCTTGTATATGGTTTGTGCTTTATTTATTTTTTCCAATAAGACCAACGTATATGTTTGTGATTGTGTTCATTATATACATATAAAAATGAACAAAAAAAATTCTACAATAATTGTTACAATGGAATTATTGTTTTTTTTCTAATTTTATACTGGTTCATTTCTACCATTTTTTTAAAGGAATACTTTTGTCCTTGATATTTATTTTTAAATCAAAATTTTTATTTCTTTTATTGGATATGTAATTTCCACTAAAAGATGTGCAATAAAATTGTGTAGAAGTATTTTGACTTAGATGTCAATATTTTTTAAACTTTTATAAATAGGACCAAAGGTTTAGAAGTAGGTTTACATTTTGTGAACTTCTTGAAGGGAAGGACCTCATGTTCTAGCACTCATGGCCAGCAGTTTGTGTGATGGCCAGCAGTTTGTGTGATGGTCTTCTGCGTATTGTTTGATGGTCTTCTGCGTATTGTTTGATGGTCTGTAGTTTGTGTGATGGCCTTCTGTGTATTGTTTGATGGTCTTCTGTGTATTGTTTGATGGTCTGTAGTTTGTGTGATGGCCTTCTGCGTATTGTTTGACTTCTAGTAGTTTGTGTGATGGCCTTCTGCGTATTGTTTGATGGCCAGTAGTTTGTGTGATGGCCTTCTGTGTATTGTTTGACTTCTAGTAGTTTGTGTGATGGCCTTCTGCGTATTGTTTGATGGCCAGTAGTTTGTGTGATGGCCTTCTGTGTATTGTTTGATGGCCAGCAGTTTGTGTGATGGCCTTCTGTGTATTGTTTGATGGTCTGTAGTTTGTGTGATGGCCTTCTGCGTATTGTTTGATGGTCTTCTGCGTATTGTTTGATGGTCTGTAGTTTGTGTGATGGCCTTCTGTGTATTGTTTGATGGTCTGTAGTTTGTGTGATGGCCTTCTGCGTATTGTTTGATGGTCTGTAGTTTGTGTGATGGCCTTCTGTGTATTGTTTGATGGTCTGTAGTTTGTGTGATGGCCTTCTGCGTATTGTTTGATGGTCTGTAGTTTGTGTGATGGCCTTCTGTGTATTGTTTGATGGTCTGTAGTTTGTGTGATGGCCTTCTGTGTATTGTTTGATGGTCTGTAGTTTGTGTGATGGCCTTCTGTGTATTGTTTGATGGTCTGTAGTTTGTGTGATGGCCTTCTGCGTATTGTTTGACTTCTAGTAGTTTGTGTGATGGCCTTCTGCGTATTGTTTGATGGCCAGTAGTTTGTGTGATGGCCTTCTGTGTATTGTTTGATGGTCTTCTGTGTATTGTTTGATGGTCTGTAGTTTGTGTGATGGCCTTCTGTGTATTGTTTGATGGTCTGTAGTTTGTGTGATGGCCTTCTGCGTATTGTTTGACTTCTAGTAGTTTGTGTGATGGCCTTCTGCGTATTGTTTGATGGCCAGTAGTTTGTGTGATGGCCTTCTGTGTATTGTTTGATGGTCTTCTGTGTATTGTTTGATGGTCTGTAGTTTGTGTGATGGCCTTCTGTGTATTGTTTGATGGTCTGTAGTTTGTGTGATGGCCTTCTGTGTATTGTTTGACTTCTAGTAGTTTGTGTGATGGCCTTCTGCGTATTGTTTGATGGCCAGCAGTTTGTGCGATGGCCATCAGTTTGTGTGAAGGCCCTCAGTCCATGGTACAATAGCCTACAGTCAATGTTGGCCTTCACTTCAGTCCAAGTTTGATGATCAGCAGTCCCTCGTCATAATCACTTGAAAAGTCACAAATTAAAGCTAGAGAAAATAATTGGAATGTGTGTAGCTGGTGATTGTGGTGATCAAATATAGATTTTACCCAACACCTCAGTGGTTTATGTACATTTCTTATTAAACTTGTCATCATTGAATAGCTTTATCCCAATGTTTTATTCCCACCCTCCTCATTAGATACAAACTCCACTGAAATCTTATATATTTGTATATTGATGATTTTTCTTTACCAATATTTATATATTAGTAGAGTTGGCTTTTTGATGGAGAAATAATTTCTCACACCTGATCTAGTTAGGGTAACTTAATCTAGCTGTTCTAGTTAGGGTAACTTAATCTAGCTGATCTAGTTAGGGGAACTTAATCTAGCTAATCTGTTTAAGAATCAGCTGAAATGTGTTTATATGAGGCTCAGATCTGTGAGAGAGTGAGTAGATATGAATGTGTTCAACATTTTGTGCAATTTTTTTTTATAATATTTAATCTTATGGTATACATTTGTTGTGTATCTTGTACAAGCCAGTAACACTTGGAAATAACAAATAGTGATTTTAGTTCTTGTGTTTTTTTCAAATAAACAAAAACTACAAAACAAATTTAAACTTTTGTAAATTCTGACTAAGACATTAGGTTGAAATATTATTTGCTCTGTCAACATTTTATCTTTCTGTAACCCAATGTATTGTCTGCAATGGATTAGCCATAATAGACTTGAAAAACTGGTTCCAAATTTTTGTTGCCAGAAAGCATAATTTTCAACCAAAATTGAATATTTTATAACATTTGTGAAATAGGTACAAAATGACTTCCAGTTTTATTAAAATTAATGTTAGAAATAGCCAAATACATAATTACTAGTAATATAATAGTAATTTAGCAAACACTTTAATTTTTTATTTGGATTAGTAGAGTTAGGTTGATATGGTGATAAGGGATGTTATGTTAAGTTTAATATAAATACAATACTAGGCTATACACCACTGACCACTATTGTGTATTTTATCATGGAAAACAACTGTTGTGACTTTCATTGTTTTACTCTCCTCCTTGTCCATTCCGAATGACTTGAAGGAGATGTTTAGGGCAGTTTTGGTTTTTAAAATATATGAATTAATGAACAATTCTTAACGACTTTTCAACTGCTTATATTCAACACAAAAATATGTACATGAGTGTAATCGATGGTTCCCTTTAAGTTTTTAGTTTTTTAAATGTAACTATAATTTTATCGCTTGCCATATTCTTAAAAAGATTTTTTTCTTAAATTTACTATGATTACATATACTTTTCAAGCCTATTGACCTTTGCATTGGTTTAATTTTTGTTATGAAATTCAGAAATTCTGAGCAGAGAAAATTGATACAGGTTGTTAGATTATTTTTATAATATTTTCATTTGGTAGTATAACAATGTTATACCCAATGCAGTTCAATTTTTAATTTTCTTGAAACAGTTCTAGACTAGTTTTCACCTGTAACTTTGATCAATAAGTGTATTGATCTTTTGTCTTCTATACCTGACATTTCTATCCTTGGATTTCCTTAAACTTGTTATGTGATCTTTACTGTCTATTCTGTACCTGCTTCAGTTGAAACAATTTTTTTTGTGATTTTTTTTTTTAATGTCCTGTGATATTTTGGTTGTCAATACATTAATTTTTACAATACAGAATACACCAATTTTTTTTTAAAAATGTTGTGTTTGTATAAGTTACTTTTCATTTTGGAAAATGTAATCAAATTTAAACTACAAATAAACATTTAACAATTCTTTAAGTTTAAAATAATTTATTATCAAGCAATTTTAACCAACCAAGGACAGAAGTGGAGTTATTTTACAATAGCCTCACATGCAGTAAAGCTTGCAGTTTAGAATAAGCTTTTTATTCAAATATTAGTTAAATCAGTTCCAGAGTACATGGACCAACAGTTTAATTTAATAGAGTTGATTTTAGTCAAGTGCTCAACCCTCTAACAGCAGACAGATTACGGAGGGTAGACTGTATGTAGACTTGCTTTTTAAACTGGAGGATGTTAAAACAAGGAGGCTAATAGAAATGCCCAGAATAGTGAAAGTTTCACTAGAGTACATTCCCTTTGTACTATTGTACAGAATTTCATTCTGTCTTATCAAAATGTAAAACAAAGAACAATTATTTCTGCTATTTATAACTTTATAACAGTGTTTGCTGTGAAATAAATAATAAATGTCAATCAAATGCCGTATATGGAATCCATAGAAGAAACAAAGTATTGTCTAACATGTACAAGCCTTTGCATACTTGAAATCTTAATTTAATTAAAATTAACTTAATTTTAAAAAACAATTGTTTAGCAAAAAAATAAAAATGACATCTTACTTAGTAGTCCAGGACAATTTCTTACAGGCAGGCTCATTAGCTCAGAAAAGAATTTTCATTCAACTTTACATCAGACAATCTCTTGGAAGGTTGTGTTTAAATACTGCCAGCACAACATACACACATAAGGACAATTAGTTACATATATTACAGTGGGATCAAATATTTTCCAGGGCAAAAACAGATTCAATGACGACTTAACTTAGACTCAATTCTGTGGGCTTGCTTCATACTTTTCAAACAAAAACTGGACCCATGCCAGTATATCGCCTTCAGTTGATCATAACTCAAATTTTTTTCTGAAAAAAAAAATATAAAAAAATACAAATTAGAAGGTTATAGCTTAAGAAAGAAAGCAGTGTGAGGTGAATATATAAGGTAACCATGCTAGCAGTGGTCACAACAAATTAAATGTTACGAAAAAAAATATGGATTATTTAATTTATGCTACATTTAGTACCAGCATTCAGGTCACAAGCAAAAAATGAACAGATCGTTTCAACCATCATACAAAACATGCACTTGACTCAAAAAAATTTTTTGGATTTTATAGTTGAACAAGGACATAGGCCTACTGGCATAATGAATTAAAACTGCCGAAGTAAGGGAAATAACTCAGAAATTACCTATGATCTTGATTAAAATCAGATGGCTTCATCTAGAGGAAGCAAATAAAGTGGGTTACAGAAGGTTTTGGTCAGATAAAACATGCATTGCAGACAGAAAAACAGAGAAAATAAATAATCAGTTACTTAACACCAACCTCTGGACCCACAACAATTCTTCATAAAGTCACTTGTCACATTAATTGATTGTGAGGTGACAATAGTCATGAAAAGTAATCATACTAAATTTTTGAAATAATCTGTTAAAAAATATGGAAGCGATAAAATTATAGTTACATTTGTAAAATTTAAAGCCGTTTGAGCACCATCGATTACACTCTTTTATATTTTAGTATCAAATATATGCAGTTGAAAAGCCGTTTAGAACTCTTTTATCCATTCAAATATTTTCAAAAACTGCCCTCAACCTCTCCTTGAAGTCAACCGGAATGGCCAGGGTAAATAAACAAGTCAGAACAATTGTTTTCCATAATAAAAATACACAATAGTGATCTATGGTGTATAGCGTAGTATTGTAATTATATTAAATAATATAACATCCCCAATCACCACAACACACTTCATCTACTAATCCAAATTCAAAATAAAAGTGTTTCCTAAATCACTATTATATTACTAGTAATTATTTCTTAGACTATTTCTAGCCTTACTTAAACTGGAAGTAATTTTGCAATTATTACACAAATGTTATAACATATTCAATTTCGGTTGAAAAAATAGGCTTTCTGGTAAAAAAAAAATTAGGAACCATTTGGAACCAGTTTTTCAAGTCTATTGCCACAACATTAATCTTTATATGTTTTATACAGGCATCCACTGGGAAAACTCTCTACATGCCCTTTTTTAACTACTTAAAAAATCATGAGTTGTGCTATTAAAACAGATGTAGTTATGAAAACTTTTTTAAAGATTTGACTTTTTCATGGTTTTAATACTTTTGGTAGCTAAATACAGTTAAATTTTCTTTTTCTTGTTTTCTAACAGAAAATGTAAACAAAAATGGTGTAACAAGGTCATGTTGTCATTCAAAAGTAGCCTATATATTATAGAGAATATCAGAAAGGTAGTCTTAAAATTAAAAACCCCAAAAAATTGTTTTCAAGTTCTCTGAATTTGCACATTTTATAAAATTGATTCTTAAAATATTGAATTACTGAATATTTTGCTTCAATTTTTTATGATCCCTAAGGGAAAAATCGACAATAAAAAATTCCATCCAAGCTAGCAATAGTAACAAATGATAGGGATTTCTCACCTAACTTAGTGGATGCCATTAAATGTATACTAAATAGAGAAAAACTCATTTCTAGCTGAAGAGAAATTAGCATTTAAATTGATTTCATACAAGATCAAGAGGCTTGGAACATGCATAACAAGTACTAAACATTGATCAATTACTAAACAAACGCACTGTTTGTTTACGTGCATCTCGGGTAAAAAAATAATTGCTTAATGGTCCCTGGTGTGCAGCATGTTATAATTGCGGAATTACCTGCATGGTTCTGCCACCCCTAACTTGATCACACATTAGTTTCAATCTCTAGCCCTCAAAGACAAAGATTTTGATTTCAATTTCTAGCCCTCAAAGACAGATAAAGATTTTGATTTCAATCTCTAGCCCTCAAAGACAGATAAAGATTTTGATTTCAATCTCTAGCCCTCAAAGACAAAGATTTTGATTTCAATCTCTAGCCCTCAAAGACAGATAAAGATTTTGATTTCAATCTCTAGCCCTCAAAGACAGATAAAGATTTTGATTTCAATCTCTAGCCCTCAAAGACAAAGATTTTGATTTCAATCTCTAGCCCTCAAAGACAGATAAAGATTTTGATTTCAATCTCTAGCCCTCAAAGACAGAGATTTTGATTTCAATCTCTAGCCCTCAAAGATAAAGATTTTGATTTCAATCTCTAGCCCTCAAAGACAGATAAAGATTTTGATTTCAATCTCTAGCCCTCAAAGACAAAGATTTTGATTTCAATCTCTAGCCCTCAAAGACAGATAAAGATTTTGATTTCAATCTCTAGCCCTCAAAGACAGAGATTTTGATTTCTATCTCTAGCCCCCAAAGACAGATAAAGATTTTGATTTCAATCTCTAGCCCTCAAAGACAGATAAAGATTTTGATTTCAATCTCTAGCCCTCAAAGATAAAGATTTTGATTTTAATTTCTAGCCCTCTAAGACAGATTTAACTATAATTTTACCAAGCCATGTAATCAGTTTTGCAAGTAATGTAAAAATCAGTGCTTAGTCTCATCTATACATATATATTGCATCATATTTACAACTCAAGGTCATTTTACGAGATAAAATTTACATTCCAAGTCTGATTTAGCTGATATGTTGCTATTAAGTTACTACAGTGAATAACTTCTATTTGAACTGAAGCATTTAAATATCTCTGTTTTACTTGCCTCATATTAAAAGAAGGATCAGCTTAGTTAAAATCTGAGACCAAATCAAAAATAGTTTTTTCTAGCTTATTCCACAGCATCTTCTGTAACACCAAAGGAACAATTTGGGCCTCATCAGAGAGCAGAGCCTATTCCACACCCCACTGAACATTGCCCAACAGATCAATTACGTTTCTGCCCAAAGACTTGAGTGTAATATTGCTCGCGCCCCACACCTCTATTACAAATTTATTCTACCCTAAACTTAATGCAATTACCACAACCTAACCCTGACCAGAAGAAAGCGTTAGGGTGCTGGCAGGTGTTAGGATTAAGATTATCATTTGCATTTAATCATATTCTGGATAAAATATTTTCATTCTACACTTTCCAATCCACTGCAAGGCATTCAACAGAATGCCAAAGCAAAATCTAATTCATTTCAGACTGTTTACACATTTCAAGCATTATATGCCAGTAGCATGTACAATGGTTTTTTAGACTAAGGAATTGCCTATGAGAGAAATTGATTTGGAGGTTATGTTATCATCTCCACACTTTTGCCTAGGCTAAATGTTTAAAAACTAGGAAATCTTGGACTTTCAAGTAGACTAAATGTTTAGAAACTGTACCAATAAAATCTTGGACTGGTGGCTAGACTAAATATTTAAATGGTGTACCAATGAAATCTTGGACTAGAGGCTAGACTAAATGTTTAGAAGCTGTACCAATAAAATCTTGGCTGAACAAAATAAAAAAAAAACAACTACCAAGGCTACACCCAGGGGAGGTAAGTAACAAATGAAACATGCAAATCATCTCCACCTCGGCCACTGCTTGTCCTTGCTGGTCAGTGGCACATAGATGACCCCCATCAAATTTTTCTTCACCACGGTACCGTCCTCAAGCTTGTCAACCTAAAACAGACAGAACACAAGTTACTTTAAGAACACCAGAACTTTAGTATTCATGTACTGACAATATTCCCGTCTACACTGAGCTAATCCCCCCACTCCCCCCCCCCAGCCTCTCTAACCTGATGAATGTGGCCTTACCATAAGCTAGCCTGTCATAATGTATAGCCCTTTATAAATCCATGATTTAAAACCAGGGATGTTTAAACCAGGCACATGGACCAGTTACCTGTAAAAGACTTTGGTTTTCACCTGCAGGACCAACAGGTATTATCAGCCTTCCACCTGGTTTCAGCTGCTCCACCAGCTGGAGGTGACAGATATCACAAAATTTGAGCAAGAGGTGACAGATTTCACAAAATTTGAGCAAGAAGGGACAGATATCACAAAATTCGAGCAAGAAGGGACAGATAACACAAGAACATTTTAGCAAGAAGGGACATATATCACAAGAAAATTTGAGCAAGAGGTGACAGATATCACAGGAAAATTTGAGCAAGAGGTGACAGATAACACAAGAAAATTTGAGCAAGAGGTGACAGATAACACTAGAAAATTTTAGCAAAAGGTGACAGATATCACAAGAAAATTTGAGCAAGAGGTGACAGATATCACAGGAAAATTTGAGCAAAAGGTGACAGATATCACAAGAAAATTTGAGCAAGAGGTGACAGATATCACAAGAAAATTTTAGCAAAAGGTGACAGATATCACAAGAAAATTTGAGCAAGAGGTGACAGATATCACAGGAAAATTTGAGCAAAAGGTGACAGATATCACAGGAAAATTTGAGCAAAAGGTGACAGATAACACAAGAAAATTTGAGCAAGAGGTGACAGATATCACAGGAAAATTTGAGCAAGAGGTGACAGATATCACAAGAAAATTTGAGCAAGAGGTGACAGATATCACAGGAAAATTTTAGCAAAAGGTGACAGATAACACAAGAAAATTTTAGCAAAAGGTGACAGATAACACAAGAAAATTTGAGCAAAAGGTGACAGATATCACAAAATTTGAGCAAGAGGTGACAGATAACACTAGAAAATTTTAGCAAAAGGTGACAGATATCACAAGAAAATTTGAGCAAGAGGTGACAGATATCACAAGAAAATTTGAGCAAAAGGTGACAGATATCACAAGAAAGTTTTAGCAAAAGGTGACAGATAACACAAGAACATTTTAGCAAGAAGGGACATATATCACAAGAAAATTTGGGCAAGAGGTGACAGATAACACAAGAAAATTTTAGCAAAAGGTGACAGATAACACAAGAAAATTTGAGCAAGAGGTAACAGATAACACAAGAAAATTTTAGCAAAAGGTGACAGATATCACAAGAAAATTTGGGCAAGAGGTAACAGATAACACAAGAAAATTTTAGCAAAAGGTGACAGATAACACAAGAAAGTTTTAGAAAGAGGTGACAGATATCACAAAACTTTTTTAGTAAGAAATGACGAATTTCTTAAGAAACTAAATTTCAGCTTGAATTGACAGGTAACATAAGAAAATTAAAGCAAGAGGTGACCAATACATAAAAAATGTTTTAGCCAAAATGAAAGATAACATTTTTAAACATTAAACCTTTAGCAAGAGATGACAGACAAAAAATTTAGCTGGAGATTTACATACAGTCAGTCAACCCCCCCACCCCCCCCCCCATGTCATATAGCCTAATATCAGCTCACTATTCATCTCATATAAACCTAATGCCACCCAAGCATAGGTTGTCCACATCTGCTACCCTCCAACCTCCTAAAAAACATGTCACTCCAGTATAGGTTGTCCACATCTGCTACCCTCCAACCTCCTAAAAAACATGTCACTCCAGTATAGGTTGTCCACATCTGCTACCCTCCAACCCCTTAAAAAACATGTCAACCCAGTATAGGTTGTCCACATCTGCTACCCTCCAACCTCCTAAAAAACATTTCACTCCAGTATAGGTTGTCCACATCTGCTACCCTCCAACCCCTTAAAAAACATGTCACTCCAGTATAGGTTGTCCACATCTGCTACCCCCCAACCCCCTAAAAAAACATGTCACTCCAGTATAGGTTGTCCACATCTGCTACCCTCCAACCCCTTAAAAAACATGTCAACCCAGTATAGGTTGTCCACATCTGCTACCCTCCAACCTCCTAAAAAACATGTCACTCCAGTATAGGTTGTCCACATCTGCTACCCTCCAACCCCTTAAAAAACATGTCAACCCAGTATAGGTTGTCCACATCTGCTACCCTCCAACCTCCTAAAAAACATTTCACTCCAGTATAGGTTGTCCACATCTGCTACCCTCCAACCCCTTAAAAAACATGTCACTCCAGTATAGGTTGTCCACATCTGCTACCCTCCAACCCCTTAAAAAACATGTCAACCCAGTATAGGTTGTCCACATCTGCTACCCTCCAAACTCCTAAAAAACATTTCACTCCAGTATAGGTTGTCCACATCTGCTACCCCCCAACCCCCTAAAAAACATGTCACTCCAGTATAGGTTGTCCACATCTGCTACCCTCCAACCCCCTAAAAAACATGTCACTCCAGTATAGGTTGTCCACATCTGCTACCCCCCAACCCCCTAAAAAACATGTCACTCCAGTATAGGTTGTCCACATCTGCTACCCTCCAACCTCCTAAAAAACATTTCACTCCAGTATAGGTTGTCCACATCTGCCACCCTCCAACCCCCTAAAAAACATGTCACTCCAGTATAGGTTGTCCACATCTGCTACCCTCCAACCCCCTAAAAAACATGTCACCCCAGTATAGGTTGTCCACATCTGCTACCCTCCAACCCCGTAAAAAACATGTCACTCCAGTATAGGTTGTCCACATCTGCTACCCTCCAACCCCCTAAAAAACATGTCACTCCAGTATAGGTTGTCCACATCTGCTACCCTCCAACCTCCTAAAAAACATTTCACTCCAGTATAGGTTGTCCACATCTGCTACCCTCCAACCCCCTAAAAAACATGTCACTCCAGTATAGGTTGTCCACATCTGCTACCCTCCAACCCCTAAAAAACATTTCACTCCAGTATAGTTTGTCCACATCTGCTACCCTCCAACCTCCTAAAAAACATTTCACTCCAGTATAGGTTGTCCACATCTGCTACCCTCCAACCTCCTAAAAAACATGTCACTCCAGTATAGGTTGTCCACATCTGCTACCCTCCAACCTCCTAAAAAACATGTCACTCCAGTATAGGTTGTCCACATCTGCTACCCTCCAACCCCCTAAAAAACATGTCACTCCAGTATAGGTTGTCCACATCTGCTACCCTCCAACCCCTAAAAAACATTTCACTCCAGTATAGGTAGTCCACATCTGCTACCCTCCAACCTCCTAAAAAACATGTCACTCCAGTATAGGTTGTCCACATCTGCTACCCTCCAACCTCCTAAAAAACATGTCACTCCAGTATAGGTTGTCCACATCTGCTACCCTCCAACCCCTTAAAAAACATGCCACCCCAGTATAGGTTGTCCACATCTGCTACCCTCCAACCTCCTAAAAAACATGTCACTCCAGTATAGGTTGTCCACATCTGCTACCCCCCAACCCCCTAAAAAACATGTCACTCCAGTATAGGTTGTCCACATCTGCTACCCTCCAACCCCCTAAAAAACATGTCACTCCAGTATAGGTTGTCCACATCTGCTACCCTCCAACCTCCTAAAAAACATGTCACTCCAGTATAGGTTGTCCACATCTGCTACCCTCCAACCTCCTAAAAAACATGTCACTCCAGTATAGGTTGTCCACATCTGCTACCCTCCAACCTCCTAAAAAACATGTCACTCCAGTATAGGTTGTCCACATCTGCTACCCTCCAACCTCCTAAAAAACATGTCACTCCAGTATAGGTTGTCCACATCTGCTACCCCCCAACCTCCTAAAAAACATGTCACTCCAGTATAGGTTGTCCACATCTGCTACCCCCCAACCCCCTAAAAAACATGTCACTCCAGTATAGGTTGTCCACATCTGCTACCCTCCAACCCCCTAAAAAACATGTCACTCCAGTATAGGTTGTCCACATCTGCTACCCCCCAACCCCCTAAAAAACATGTCACTCCAGTATAGGTTGTCCACATCTGCTACCCTCCAACCCCTAAAAAACATTTCACTCCAGTATAGGTTGTCCACATCTGCTACCCTCCAACCCCTTAAAAAACATGCCACCCCAGTATAGGTTGTCCACATCTGCTACCCTCCAACCCCTTAAAAAACATGTCACTCCAGTATAGGTTGTCCACATCTGCTACCCTCCAACCTCCTAAAAAACATGTCACTCCAGTATAGGTTGTCCACATCTGCTACCCTCCAACCCCCTAAAAAAACATGTCACTCCAGTATAGGTTGTCCACATCTGCTACCCTCCAACCCCCTAAAAAACATGTCACTCCAGTATAGGTTGTCCACATCTGCTACCCTCCAACCTCCTAAAAAACATGTCACTCCAGTATAGGTTGTCCACATCTGCTACCCTCCAACCCCGTAAAAAACATGTCACCCCAGTATAGGTTGTCCACATCTGCTACCCTCCAACCCCCTAAAAAACATGTCACTCCAGTATAGGTTGTCCACATCTGCTACCCTCCAACCCCTAAAAAACATTTCACTCCAGTATAGGTTGTCCACATCTGCTACCCTCCAACCTCCTAAAAAACATTTCACTCCAGTATAGGTTGTCCACATCTGCTACCCTCCAACCCCTAAAAAACATTTCACTCCAGTATAGTTTGTCCACATCTGCTACCCTCCAACCCCTAAAAAAAATTTCACTCCAGTATAGGTTGTCCACATCTGCTACCCTCCAACCTCCTAAAAAACCTGTCACTCCAGTATAGGTTGTCCACATCTGCTACCCTCCAACCTCCTAAAAAACCTGTCACTCCAGTATAGGTTGTCCACATCTGCTACCCCCCAACCCCCTAAAAAACATGTCAACCCAGTATAGGTAGTCCACATCTGCTACCCTCCAACCTCCTAAAAAACATGTCACTCCAGTATAGGTTGTCCACATCTGCTACCCTCCAAACTCCTAAAAAACATGTCACTCCAGTATAGGTTGTCCACATCTGCTACCCTCCAACCCCCTAAAAAACATGTCACTCCAGTATAGGTAGTCCACATCTGCTACCCTCCAACCTCCTAAAAAACATGTCACTCCAGTATAGGTTGTCCACATCTGCTACCCTCCAACCCCTTAAAAAACATGTCACTCCAGTATAGGTTGTCCACATCTGCTACCCTCCAACCCCCTAAAAAACATGTCACTCCAGTATAGGTTGTCCACATCTGCTACCCTCCAAACTCCTAAAAAACATGTCACTCCAGTATAGGTTGTCCACATCTGCTACCCTCCAACCTCCTAAAAAACATGTCACTCCAGTATAGGTTGTCCACATCTGCTACCCTCCAACCTCCTAAAAAACATGTCACTCCAGTATAGGTTGTCCACATCTGCTACCCTCCAACCTCCTAAAAAACATGTCACTCCAGTATAGGTTGTCCACATCTGCTACCCTCCAACCCCCTAAAAAACATGTCACTCCAGTATAGGTTGTCCACATCTGCTACCCCCCAACCTCCTAAAAAACATGTCACTCCAGTATAGGTAGTCCACATCTGCTACCCTCCAAACTCCTAAAAAACATTTCACTCCAGTATAGGTTGTCCACATCTGCTACCCTCCAACCCCTTAAAAAACATTTCACTCCAGTATAGGTTGTCCACATCTGCTACCCTCCAACCTCCTAAAAAACATGTCACTCCAGTATAGGTTGTCCACATCTGCTACCCTCCAACCCCTTAAAAAACATTTCACTCCAGTATAGTTTGTCCACATCTGCTACCCTCCAACCTCCTAAAAAACATGTCACTCCAGTATAGTTTGTCCACATCTGCTACCCTCCAACCCCCTAAAAAACATGTCACCCCAGTATAGGTTGTCCACATCTGCTACCCTCCAACCTCCTAAAAAACATGTCACTCCAGTATAGGTTGTCCACATCTGCTACTCCCCAACCCCCTAAAAAACATGTCACTCCAGTATAGGTTGTCCACATCTGCTACCCCCCAACCCCCTAAAAAACATTTCACTCCAGTATAGGTTGTCCACATCTGCTACCCTCCAACCCCCTAAAAAACATGTCACTCCAGTATAGGTTGTCCACATCTGCTACCCCCCAACCCCCTAAAAAACATGTCACTCCAGTATAGGTTGTCCACATCTGCTACCCTCCAACCCCCTAAAAAACATGTCACTCCAGTATAGGTTGTCCACATCTGCTACCCCCCAACCCCCTAAAAAACATGTCACTCCAGTATAGGTTGTCCACATCTGCTACCCTCCAACCTCCTAAAAAACATGTCACTCCAGTATAGGTTGTCCACATCTGCTACCCCCCAACCCCCTAAAAAACATGTCACTCCAGTATAGGTTGTCCACATCTGCTACCCCCCAACCCCCTAAAAAACATGTCACTCCAGTATAGGTTGTCCACATCTGCTACCCTCCAACCCCCTAAAAAACATGTCACCCCAGTATAGGTTGTCCACATCTGCTACCCTCCAACCCCCTAAAAAACATGTCACTCCAGTATAGGTTGTCCACATCTGCTACCCTCCAACCCCCTAAAAAACATGTCACTCCAGTATAGGTTGTCCACATCTGCTACCCTCCAACCTCCTAAAAAACATGTCACTCCAGTATAGGTTGTCCACATCTGCTACCCCCCAACCCCCTAAAAAACATGTCACTCCAGTATAGGTTGTCCACATCTGCTACCCTCCAACCCCCTAAAAAACAAAGTGAAACCACTCACAGCCTCAGGAAGGTCGGGGGCCGCCGCCCCCACATGAATGGCGTCAAAAGGTGCCTCAGGGGCGTAACCCTGCCGGCCGTCCCCCACCACCAATTCCAGCCTGTCAGTCTCCAGCAGCACCCTGGTGATGAGATCCTTCTCTATGTTCCTCTTGGACTCCTCCACCAGTTCTGGAATATGATCTATGCCTATAGCTTTACCACTTTTTCCAACCTAAAAACAATGACATAGATTTCATTCTTTCTCTCATTTCTCTTGGTATCTGTTGTAACGGTTTTGTTTGGTTTCTTAACACTAACATGGTTTAGAAACTAACATTGTGTATTTAAACTTTAAATGGATCTCACCCTTTAGCTATACCCATATTTGAATGAGCGGTGTATGTAGTAATGAAAAATGAACACTAGCATTATTCCTGACCCTAAAGCACTGATCTAACTAGCTCTAAACTTTTGCTATCCCTAGAATGTGACTACAGCTGATTAAATGTAATTTTTGTAATTGGTTTATATAAAAGATTTTTTGTAGGGTTAAAAAGAATTGAGTATTCTTGCTGTAAATCTTTTTTTAAATGTACTGAGATGAAATCCTACCATTAGTGCCATGCACGCAGTTAGATAGCCACTCCCAGAACCCACGTCCAGCGCTTTACTTCCCTCTGTTAAATGGTCAGACAAGAGTTCCAGTGCATGGGCATGCTGCAGATTGATGAGGTAATAAGTTCATTAACAGATGCAGTTATTGATGGTACAATTATTATGTAAGTACAAATCTAACATAGAACGTTAAGGGTTGATAGAGTTAAGCAAATTAACACCTTTTAAAACGTGGCCTACGGAAAACTGAACTAAACTAAACTAAATAGATATTTTTTTTAGCTAATAAACTAAACACACACAAAGAATAGGTGGTCAGTTTCCAAAATGATGTCACTAAATTTTTTTCAATTGAATGTCTATACTGTTAACATGCATACAGGGTAGATCAATAACACTATAATATCTGCTGATGAATGTTTGAGTCATAAGATTGCTTACTATCCTTTCCAAAATATTGACAAATTAGCTTGAAATGAGACCTACAATTTAAAAAATTGCCCAAAGAGATGATGGAAAATGTCTGAAAGCAAGAACTAGCAAGGACATCCAGGCAGATGAGGCTCAACAGCTGGAGACTAAAACCCATCTAGGACAGACAACTCCAAAATTAAACAACTACTGCCTTGTAGTTGTTCTTGGATGGACAAAGGCCACAGAAGCAATTCCAAAAATAAAAGCAGGCTGAAATGGAGTCAAGGGCTTACATGGCGCTTAACAGGTTGTCACGTAATACTTAATTGTGTTGGAGGAAATACCGTCCAACATGATTGCAATAAAGAATGGAGAAGAAAAGAACAAGCAGGAGAAAGTTGCTCACCATATGCGGGGCACTAATTGTCACAGCGTAGCCGATGCTCTGGGGCGAGTCGTTGTACGGGTTGGCTTTACAAAAGTTGGCGCGGTCAACTTTCTTCATGGCACTGATAACAGCTTCAGACTTGATGATGCCATTTTCTGGAACACACATTATACTTATGGTACTCAATTTGGATTGTAAAAATTAGCAGATTCAAGTGTTACATGTAAACAGCAACCACAAAAGCTTCCACCTCGAGGCAATTTACTCATGGGATAAGGGAGCTGTGTTGCAGAAAATCAAATATTTGGCCTGGAAGTCTAGAATGGGTTTGCTGGTTATAAAGTGGTTTTTAGTGTCTGACAGAGGGGCGGGGTTTAATGGTGGTGCAGAGAAATGGGGGGGGGGGGGGGGGTATCAGAGTGGTAGGCTTAATGGTACGGGGGAGAAAAGGGTAAGGGTGGAGAAATGGGTGGGGGGGGGGGGCATCAGAGAGATGGGCTCAGTGGGGTGGGGGCTGAATCAGAAGAGTTGACAATGGTATGATGGAGAAAGGGGGGAGGGGTGGTATGAGACGGATGGGCACAATAGTAGGATCATGGAATGGGTGGAGTGGTTACTGGAGTAGGGATGGGGATGGGGTAGGGGGATAAGAAGAATGGGTTGAAGAAGTTACTGCCCCTGAATGCCAGCATCACCAACTTAAGTTACTGAACAATGCTCTGGTCACCCAATCTTCCCATGGTATCTCCTGCTGCTGTCAAGCCAGTAACGATATTGTATATTTAACTTGTAATTATAACAACATATAACAACATATACTTTATAAATAACAAAGTAAACAATGAAAACACCTAGTGTCAGCAAATCAAAACAACACTCACTGGCCAGATTTTCAACAAGGTGGGTATTGTTGTTGCCACTTGATCGCCAGGCCATAATAAATGTGCGGGGTATGAAATACAAGAAGCTCAATGACAAGAGACTATTCCGGTTGATCCACATTGACTGATTCCAACATTCACAGAGCTACAGTTAAAATGATCCCCACCTGTACATAAAAAACCAGAACATTTCATGATGCTATATTTTATAAATGGTCATTAGAAAGGCTATGTCAGATTTTTAATAAGCTTTTATATGGTTTGCAAGGTCAGTTTGTGGGCTGTGGTAAATCTTGTAACTAAGTTTCAACTCACTTCTAATATAGCAATTTTGTTGAAACTTTCCAGATACCTTGTTCAGTCAATGACAATGCAAGGATATCTAATTTTTAATGTAATTAGATAGACCATTAGTCATTAAAATTTAATATTTAAAAATTGTTTAATTTAGTTACTAATCTCACGCAATTAATATATCATTCTGTTAAAATGGTGAAATATTTTTCATGGCTGAGTGATTTTATACCTGAGCGTTGACCACAAAATAGGAAGGGGCAGATAACTATATTTTAGAGATTGCAAGCTATGATCAGGTTTAAATGCAAATATTTTTATTCATAGCCTTAGCAGTGTCTACTTAATTTAGAACATATTACTAAAAAGTGGAATATAAAATAAATATAAAAACATTTAAAATAATAATAAACTTTTAAATGCAATGAAAATAAGAAAATAAAACAAACTTGCTTCCTTTAATATGACAGGGTCAAATTTTTTAACTTGTGATAAGACTGGCTAGTTCACTTTTAAAACTGACAAGGTTAAATTTTTAACTTGGGATAAGACTAGCTAGTTCACTTTTAAAACTGACAAGGTTAAATTTTTAACTTGGGATAAGACTAGCTAGTTCACTTTTAAAACTGACAAGGTTAAATTTTTAACTTGGGATAAGATTGGCCATATTTTTACGCTTTTCTAGTGATAGTATTGACAAACATACTATTGATGCTAAACATAATCTTACTTTGCAAAATAACTGATCTACATCATAATAGGGCCTAGTAGAGTTTGAATCTAACTAGGGACAAAAATAATAGGCCTATCTAGTTTAATTTCCTCCTCTTCCCTCTATACACCAAGCAACCAGATGTGTTATCTTTGCCTTGACAATTACTTTACTAAACTTCAATTCAAATGTTAAAATGTGGTTGGGAAGACAACTGTTTTAATTATAGCCCAAATTGATTGAAAAAGGTCATAATAAAACCAGTTGTCTATAGGTTATAACTATAAATATTAAATAAGATAATGAGTGTCTTCCCAACCAAATGTTTTGGTTCAAATCCCTCCTGCACAAAATAATTCAACTTAAGTTTACATAAGGGGGTATACTGTACTTTTACTTATGTGGTGAAGACCCTACATTTTATGTTATGTCATTTACATGGATGGTCTGTTTGGTAAGCCGGCTGTAAGCAATGACGCTGTTGCTGGCATGACATTACTATCGGATTGCAGCAACCTAAGTTTTCAAGTTTTTTAAAATCTTAATTAAGTCTTAAATAAATAAAGTCTAAGACCAAGAAGAATCATCTATGTCTATGCCTAGAATCTAAGTACAAAGTAACAATAAACAAACATGTATTCAGTAAGTTTTACCAAGTAGGCCTAAATAAATTAAGATGTGACTTAACTACTTAACTTCACTGTAGTGTACTGTAGTCAGTGTGTTCACTGTGGTTAAGTAACAGCAGAGTAACAGTCAGTTAAGTGAAAGTCTGTTAAAGACTAAAGTACTCAGTAAGTACTAGATCGGTAATCTATCGTTTTAGGTACGTAAAATCGGCCGCGACTAGTAATGTGAAAAACAGGTGACTCCTTACATTTTAATAATTATTTCACATTTTGAGGAGAATTTATGTTTTGAAAAATACAAAAATGTTTCCTTGTTTCATTTATGTACCTGTTTTTAAACATTTGAATTAAAACTTTTCAGTAATAAATGAACACCAGCTATGTTTCCAACAGATGCAACCACGCTCGTTTACTATAGCAGCCATCTTGTTAAAGTTTTATTTTTATAGACATATAGCGCGAGATTGAGGCGGAAGTCACTCTATTTTACAAATGGCTGCTGTTTATATAGCAAATCTTGCTTGCAGACACAGCTGTTTAAAGTTAATTTCTGGCCTATATTAATATATTTAGCCATTGATTTAGGTTTATTATTCATTTATCTATAATATTTGACACAAACATATCACAATATACTTCTATTACAGCCTTGACAATGAGGTAACGTTTTCGTACATTAATAGCCGCGGGCGATTTTACGTACCCAAAACGATAGATTACCACTACTAGATCTAATACTTATTGTAAAAAAAAAATTATGTACCAAGTAGTCAAGTAGTGAGTAGAGTAATAGAAGTAGAGTGTCACCACTGTGGTGACTGGGTGTAACAGATTAATTTGAAAACATACTAAAACAGAGTAAAAAAATTTAAAATGTAACTGTGTGACTGTTGCTGAACTGCAGTGTGAGTGTTTAGGCAAATTTAGTAGGGTAAAGGAGGGCGTTAAGAGCCACACTTTTTAGCACCTGTACATTTTTAAAGATTTCTACTAATCTAAGAATGTTTTAGTATTGAAAATATGGCAAAATCATTCTAACATATCTTACACAATATAAAAATAATAACATAGTCTATTAAATAAACTTTAAATGGTTTTAATTGAACATTTATTGTCATACCCCCAAAATCAGCATTTGGGGTGAAAGGAGCCGGGCAATGGGGCAATAAGTATTATCTCCTAGTTTAGACTAACTCCGCAATAAAAATAATTAATTTCTAACCCCAAAATAGTTAATGCTGTGTACACACACTTTAACTGATACTAGCTATCACTTGGCCCCAATGGGCCCAGTCTACAATTGATACATTTGCAGGTGTACATAGGGCCTAAAGTCTTGTAGTTTACAGTAGGCACATTAGTATGCCTAGTGTGTAGCTAGTATACTAGTGTGTAGCTGTCCAGGGTTAACATTCTTGTATGTAAAAGGGGTGGTACTAACTAATCTGCCTTAATGCTTTCCCCTGATAAGCCATGTGTGCTATACATTACATAACATGACATGGAGGTGAGAAATGTTGAGGGGAGAGCAGTGGTACTGATTTCCCCTTTGTTCTCCTTGCTGGACCCTGAGGGCCATAAATTACATAAGGAGATGCTATCTCTGGTTGGCTGAGATGTAAGAACTTAGCCCATGTTACCTACAAAGAGATAAGTTTTATGGTGGGGTAGAAACATGTGGGGCCTGGCTTTCATGGAGGTGAAAAATTGTGAGGGGAGAGCAGTGGTACTGATTCCTCTTAGGTCTCCACCCTGCTAGACCATGAAGGTCATATATTACATAACATGCCACCCCAGATTGTCTGAGATCTTTAACTGTAATCCATGTTACCTACAAAGAGATGAAGTTTTATGGTTGGCCAGAAACTGGTGGGGGCTGGGTATCATGGGGGTAAGAAATTGTAAGGGGGGGAGCAGTGGTATTAATGTGTCTGTTTACTTCCCTGCTGGACCATGAGGGTCATAAATTACATAACATACCACCCCAGATTGGCTGAGACCTAAGAACATTTATTCCTGTTACCTACAAAGAGATTAGAGGTTTTATGGCTGGTTAGAAACAGGTGGGGGCTGAGTCGGCTGTATTGCCCCTTAGGGGTAATAAGTACCTGTACCATTTTAAAAATTACCTTGCTAACATCAGATGGCTGAATTTTTACTTTTTAGCAGGTTAGAATTGTATTTCTATCATTTAGACACAAGTCTGTTTAACAGTTAATACATTTTGTGTTAACTATTCCTATACTAGTGTCATATTCAGTGGTCTAATAAATGAGAAACTTGCACCTAGGGTTTCAAGAGCCACATAACAGTATTTGTGATAACTTTTCTAAACAGGCAAGCTAGTGGACAAAATTAATGTATTCATGTAGATTTAGTTCTTATCTAACAAATAAAACCATTATGGTAATGATCAGTCAAGTTTTACTCTGATAATGATAAAAACTTCATAGCATGGTAAAATGGGACAAATGTCGGCCATTTTGTTTAGGCACCAATAATCACTGTGCAAAAAAAATTCACCAAAATAAAACTATTCTAGCCATAGCTATAAAAATAGTGTTAAAATGTACAACAACCAATGCTCTAATACAGGAACAAAGAATGGGCTTGAAAAACTCATTTGGTTTATTACAAAGTGAAGTTTCCCAAGTTATGTCTATTTGGGAAAAAAAGTTCACAAAATGGATTTATGGAGATGAGAAATTTTAGGGAAAGAGCAGTGGGATTAAATCCTGTCTCATCCTCTCCCTATTGGACCAAGTGGGTCGTAAATTACATAAAATGAATCCTCTGCTTCTCTGTTATCAAAGAACAGCAGTGGTTGTTACCTCAGAAGTAGATTATCAGTGTTATTGGGGGTTTTGTGGGGGTGGGGTGTTGATTGGGGCTTAATACCACACGGCTCTTAACGCCCTCCTTTACCCTATGCCCTATTTATTTAATAGCCTACTATTTAATATTAATAAAATTTAAACTAGGTTATTGATACTGATGTTTTTGCATAATGCACTTATATTAGTTAGCAAATGAAAAGTTGAAGTTCTAGCTAGCTAATCTATATTATTGAGGCTTAAACTCTAACTAAATCACCTGTGACGCAGTTCAAGAGAGCATTGTTTACTAAAACTAAATTCTACGTACAGAGACTACGGAACGTAACTCCCAGCAAATTCAAAAGGTCAAGCGTTGTAAGTTCACTTCCTTCGAAGCAGGGGAGAGAAAAAATATTTAAAACATAAGCCTGAGAAAACAACTCTAAATCAACACAACACGCTTTTAAACGTACTAATAAAAAGAAATATTAAAAATCTGTATCATAACGATCTTTTAAATTTACTGAAAACGGAGAAATAAATCTAAATGAACGGTTGCCTTTGTTGTTTTTTGACTGAGTCTGTCCCGTGTTTCTTTCTTCGAGGGAGGGAGGGGGGAGGGAGCGAGAACAGAGTTTCTTCCAGGCATCTCTTCGGGGGGCGACTTTGGTCGAAAAAACTAAAATCCCCGGATAGAAGGTGTCTTGTTAATCTAGCTTCGAAGCTGACTAGATCAATTAAGTTAAATTAAAATAAGATTGGGCTTTAATTACAGTTCTACTTCTTCTTCGTTCTAAATTTTTAGTGTTGGAAGTGATCGAGCCGTATCTGCCAGAGGGTTTCAACTCGCCTCCTTCACAATTAGGGATACGAATCAACTGGTTATGCGCATTGAGGCCATTGACTCCGATTTCAGCCTGCTTTTCTTTTTGGATTTGCTTCCATAGACTTTGTATATCCAAGAACAAACTACATGCAGCAGTTGTTTGTTTTTGGAGTTGTCTTTCCTAGAATAGTGGCTGTCCCCAGCTAAAGAGCCCCATCTAACCGAGACTTTTCGGTTTAGCAACCATGAGCTTAACCGACTCGACCACGCCGACCACTTATTACAGTTAAAATGATACATTTTAATCAACATTTATTTTTAACCCAATGGAATTTTGACTTGACTTACTTTGACTTAGTCCTCTTTGCTCCTTAAGGAGCATAGGGCCTCCACAATTTCCTTCCATTTCTTCCTATCCTCGGCTATTAATTTTGACAACTCCCAAGACATCCCTGTTGGCTTCAGTTCTTCAAGAAGACTCCGCCTCCAGGTCTGTCTTGGGCGCCCTCTCTTCCGCTTTCCCTGGGGGTTCCACTCAAGCGTTTGGCGTGTAACATTTGTGTGAGCCTCTCGCAGTATGTGACCCACCCAGCGCCACTTCCTCCTTCTTATTTGCACACCTATAGGCTCCTGCCTAGCTTTCCTCCATAGTTCCAAGTTCGGCACTTTGTCCTGCCATCTCAGTTTCAGTACAATGGAATTTTAACCACGGCTTATTAGCTGGTCATGGTGACATGTGACAGCTGAAAACAAACTTTTTTTTTTACACTGTTTTGTATTCTTGTTCTATTATTGAAAATTGACTGCTATGTGAGTTTATATGTGTATATAGACATGTCATCTCTATACAGCCTGTATAATAGTAGGCTGATGCTGGTAGAATGGACCCGTGGCGTGACAAACTTGGGAGTCACCCGGTGCGGTAACAGAGGGTGTGAATCTACCGCTCCCAACAATGTTCCAATTTCGATTTGGTGTCACCCCTCTCCCAGAGTAGTTTATTTTTTTAATTGGACAAGTAACTGCTTTGGCAGTTAACTTTTACGATGTTTTATTTGGTGTCACCCCTGTCCCTTAATGATGTCACCTGGTGCGGAACTACCCCTTACCCCGTCTATTGACGCTACTTGTTTAGATACAGTTGACCTAAAGATGCTGTAGTTGGAGGAAGAGATACAACGGTCGCCAGGTTGATAGTATTGTCTCTTTTCTCTAACCCTTTAACGCCAACAGTTGCGTTTTCGCGACATACCGATTTAGCGCATAGCATTTGCGCATAGGTACATTTATCCTACTGCTACGGGTCGTTGTTTATTGGGTATATCCAGAAGGTTGTATCGGTACCAACGGTCAGGTTGCCGATTCGAAATGTATGACGTCACACTCTTTTGACTCACGCGCATCGTAATTTTTTTTTTGACTTCGTGAATTCAGCCTACTTACATTGATTATTATTACTAAATAGGTGATCCGTTTTTGCTACAAAAAATACTAATGGCTTTATTATTCACTCTTTTATGCATATAAACAATATAAATCACACATGAGAATCATTTTGGAAGTTATCTGCTAGTTACGGTTTGTCGCGTTTTAGCGACATCCGGCAATAAGACATAAAATGGAGTTTGGGTGCCAAGCAGGTAGGCCCATAAGGAAATACGATGCATCGCCAAGCTGTCATTCATTCTACCAGAGGCGCGTAGAGACCCTTCCCGGCGCCCGGGGACAAACTTTTCGATTTGCACCCCCCCCTCAAGATTTCGATTTGCACCCCCCTCAAGATTTTCATTTGCACCCCCCCCCCCTCAAACTTTCAATTTGCAACCCCCTCAACCTTTCAATTTATTTTTCCAACCCATTTTGGCGCCCCCTAAGGTCGGCGCCCGGGGACATATCCCCCCCGCCCCCCTCCCCCTCGCTACGCTACTGTATTCAATTAAAGAATTTACAATATAGTCTTCGCCTATATATAAAAGTACACTTTAGAACGTTACGGTCCATGTGGTAGGTGAAGTAGAGTTTACCTGTTTCATTGACATTGGCATATGGAGAGAGAGAGCGATGCTGGAATAATGTGATCATGTTGCTGGGTATAATATAACGAATTTAGCTTTGAAATAGTATTGTAAAATATTAGGAGAACATAAAAAAATAAATAGACAACATGAAGTGAGGTGGTGGACCACTATCCTGGATACCCCCCAAAGAAATAACAATAATAACACTGAGCATAGACCTACATCTCGTAATAAATACAGTAAGGTTGAGTACTGACAAACATACCCTTTGCAGTGCTATTGAATACACACATTAGTGGCATTATATTAGCATTTAGTACCGAGAGCTGTGTTAATGAGTACCCACATCTTCAGCACTGAGTACCAACATCAGTGACAATGAGCAATGAGCAACCACAGTTTGAGCACTAAGCACTCACAGCAGTGATACTGAGTACCCACTGCTAAGGCTGAGTACCCACATCAATGTTATCGATTACCAACAGCTCCAGCGCTGAGTACCCACAGCAGTGACACCAAGAACCGACTGCAGTAACACTGAGTACCCACAGCTTCAACAGTGAGTACCCACAGCTTCAGCACTCAGTACACATGGCTTCAACACTCATTACCCACTGTTTCAGCACTGAGTACCCATAGCAGTGGCAATATGTAGCTACAGCACTGTCATTGGTAATCAATATCAGAATCAGTCGAGCACAATAGCCGTAGCACGAATCGGAAACATAGGTTACCATCAACAATAGCACTGAGTACCCACAGCCAGAGGCGTAGCGATGGGATGCAGGGGGGGACATATGTCCCCGGGCGCCGACCTTAGGGGGCGCCAAAATGGGTTGTAAAAGCAAATTAAAATGTCAATTTAGCTGCATTTTTGCAGCTTGAGGGGGGGGGGGTGCAAAACGAAAAGTTGAGGGGGGGGGGGGTGCAAGAACATTTGAAAATTTGCTCCCGAGGCGGGCGCCAAATTGAAAGTTTGTCCACGGGCGCCGGGAAGGGTCGATACGCCTCTGCCCACAGCAGTGACACCAAGTACCCACAGCAGCTGCATTGAGCATGGACGAATATACAATGGCTGAACACTGTCATTTAGGACAGTGTTTGCTCACGTGCTTTGTGTGTATAGCAAATATAGGTCAAATGAGAAATATGCGTCTTTATTAGTTGACCTATGACGTAACCGGGGACAACTAAGGCTCTACACATTAAAGGAAGACCTTTCATGTGTAGTGTGTTACTGTAGTGCAGTAGAACCACGACAGCAAGGCTTCAAAATACCCATTCATAAGAGTTAGTCAGTAAGCAGGTGCAGCAGAGTTTTGTAACTATGTAGCTTTAATTAATCATTAATTGAACTGGCAAAAAACATGTTTCTTCTGTACATTTTGCAATACATTTTGTTAGTAATAAATATTTCCCTTGTCTACTAGGAATGTGCAAAGTTTTAAATTATTTATAAAAATTATTTTGATTCTACTGTGTACATAAAAACACAAATTTCGCTAAAATATATAAATTGACCCAAATAAATACAGTGAAATAATGTTTAAAGACGACAATAAGAAGTGATGGTTTTTGTAGGTTTTGGGAGGCGAGCCAACGCGTGTACTTGAAGAAATAAGAACTCTCTCGTGTTTTTGTTTTTTAATTAATACTTTTTTGTGCGGGAAATATAATTAACTAGAAGAGCCCAATCACAGTTTGATCATCATCACAGAGTACTCCCACCCTACCACATCGACACCACCCACACAGAGCCTTGTCTAAAATCACGAATCAACATCGATCCGACTCCTCACTTAACGGTGGGCGTGGCAAGGCCACGGCACGAAGCTACATCACCTGCCCAGCAACACCTAACATGGACCGTACACGTGAACACCTTGGTGACCTTGGTCAGCACCGGTTCCAGCCCGATGCTAATTGACTTCCGTTGTTGCAAGACGTCTCCAGCTGCAGCATAGACCATCCATTTGTTACACTTCTACCTTCACACGTCAGACTGAAGTGTTGCAAGACGTCTCCAGCTGCAGCATAGACCATCCATTTGTTACACACATTTGTTACACATTTACCTTCACACGTCAGACTGAGGTAATCCGCCGGAACATTACAACGTCTGGCTGTCTGCCTTCAGTAATTGTCCTTGGGGCTGTCAACCTGCCATACACTTGAGACACGTGAACCCGGGATTACCCCAATATTCGCCCTTGAACTTCAAGCAAACGATAAAAATAATACATTTTTCCCCTTTTGCTTCTTTTTACTTTCTCGTATATACGTAGTATAGAGAAAGTATTGTAATCGTGCAAAAAAAAAAAATCGAGATTTTTACAAATCTCGACGTTTTACACCTCACTGATACGGAAAAACATAATTTTGCAATCTTGTCCGTATGTCTGTGTGTCTGTGTGTGTGTCTGTCTGTCTGTCTGTCCGTGTGTAAACACGATAACTTGCGTACCGTTACAGCTAGGTTGATGAAATTTCATATATAAGTATTTAATCAAAATCGTAGAT